TGTTTGTTTTAAATGTGGTAAATTATAGATTTTTGTAAAAAAAAATTTCTCTTGTACCGCGCTTCGAGCCTTTGCGGATGAAGCGTGTTTTTGAAATTCACTTTATTATTATTATTAAACAGCCTGTTCGATCCCAACAATCTGGTAGAACTTAAAAGCTGTTCGACCCCAACAGCATGTTCGACCCCAACAACCTGGTAGAACTTAAAAGCTGCTCGACCCCAACAGCCTGCTCGACCCCAACAGCCTGCTCGACCCCAACAGCCTGCTCGACCCCAACAGCCTGCTCGACCCCAACAGCCTGCTCGACCCCAACCGCCTGCTCGACCCCAACAGCCTGCTCGACCCCAACAGCCTGCTCGACCCCAACAGCCTGCTCGACCACAACAGCCTGCTCGACCCCAACAGCCTTCTCGACCCCAACAGCCTGCTCGACCACAAAGCCTAGAACTATTGAGACGTCTAGTGCCCATTTGGACATAAGTATGAAGTGGTCACCCATGCTACTGATCTTGAATGTGTCTCTAGCTACCTACTTAAACTGAACTCACTCTAGAGTGAATTAATTCTTTCATACTTTATTAATATTTGATTTAACATAAAAAAGAAAAACAAGCAAACAGAATTCAAATGTTCAAATATTTTGATTCTTTGATAACTATTATCTTGTCAAAGTCACTAAAATTATTGAACGTTATTTAAAAAATAAAAAAAAGTATCTATATTTTATAATGAACATAAACCTTACACACGCGCAGTTCGAGTAACTTGGCTGTAGAATGTAGGCTCTAGTCCGCTAAACAATGGCTACCGCATTGCGTGCACTTCCCATCAACTAAATTTACTTGACAAAACATGCCTTCAAGTGACACATTTTTTTTGTGATTTCCGTTTAGTGCTACCCCCCGCCCCCCAACCCCCGGCAACATCACCGCCCATGAGAGGTATTAATATTCTAATTTCCGTCTCACTTTAACATCGCATGTTTATTACACCATTTCGGTTAAAAAAGATAATATCACGCAACAAACGTACATTCTGTATTTTCAGAATGTCCTTTAGCTTAGATTATCATGAATCTTATTTAGTGAATTTAGCGCCATCTCGTAGCGGTAGGGACTTTTTACATAGAGAAATATGTCAATTAATTCTTGTTGGATGAGATCCATTGGAAAAAATTTAATAGCCCATCTAAAATGCAATGCGAGATGTATAAGACGGGATATCTAAACCACGAACCAAAAATACGCTACCGAAAAAAAACCAAATAAATGAAGGGACTGCTTTCAAGCTTAGTAAATGAATGAAATAGCGAAACGAGGTATGTGGAAGCTTGAAATAAAATAACAGGACAAAAAACAAGGACGTTTCGGCATAAAGCCTTCCTCAGCCAACAATAGAAATATGATTTTTTTAAACCGGGTTTCTAAAAATTGTTGTTCTGAAATGGTTCTAAAAGATCGCTTAATTGGTTCTGAAAGGTCGCTTTATTTGTTTTTAAAGATGGTTTAGTTTTTTGTTAAAGATCGTTAGTTGCTTGCTATTGATCGGTTAGTTTGTTCTTAAAGATCGTGAGTTTGTTCTTAAAGCTCGCTTAGTTTTTTGTTAAAGTTCGTCCAGTTTTTGTTAATGATCGCTTTAACCGAAACCGAAATTAAGCCGAAAGTTAACTTTTCAGTTTCGGCCGAAACCGAAACTTGGCCAAAAGTGATAAAATGGCCACTTTCTGCGCCGAAACCGAAGCCGAAGCCGAAATTCGGTCGGCCACTAATTGGGTCCATATTTATTTGATATTTTAAAACTTAGCTCTTGGGCTATATCATGGTTCACCATTTTTTAATAGTGGAATGGATGCTATCATTCCGGCAACTGTTTCTATCACAGGTGCACCAAACTGGCAAAAAAGACACAAAAACCCAATAGGGATTGTTGGCTTCCCGTTTTCAAAAGGCCAGGTCAGTTATAAGCTTCTGAGAGTGGCAGGTCCCATAAAAAGTTGCCTATGGTTCGAATGTATGCTTCTACTTCTCATGGTACGAATGTATGCTTCTTCTTCTCATGTTATGAATGTATGCTTCCAAGCCTTATGGTACGAATGTATGCTTCTTCTTCTCATGGTACGAATGTATGCTTCTTCTTCTCATGGTACGAATGTATGCTTCTTCTTCTCATGGTACGAATGTATGTTTCTTCTTCTCATGGTACGAATGTATGCTTCTTCTTCTCATGGTACGAATGTATGCTTCTTCTTCTCATGGTACGAATGTATGCTTCTTCTTCTCATGGTGCGAATGTATGTTTCTTCTTCTCATGGTACGAATGTATGCTTCTTCTTCTCATGGTACGAATGTATGTTTCTTCTTCTCATGGTACGAATGTATGCTTCCAAGCCTTATGGTACGAATGTATGTTTCTTCTTCTCATGGTACGAATGTATGCTTCCAAGTCTTATGGTACGAATGTATGCTTCTTCTTCTAATGGTACGAATGTATGCTTCCAAGTCTTATGATACGAATGAATGCTTCTTCTTCTCATGGTACGAATGTATGCTTCTTCTTCTCATGGTACGAATGTATGCCTCTTCTTCTCATGGTACGAATGTATGCTTCCAAGTCTTCTGGTACGCATGCATGCTTCCAAATCTTATTGGTACGAACGTATAATTTATAGTCTTAAAATACGATTGTATGCTTCTTAGTCTTATGGTACGCGTGTATACTTCTTTTTCTTATGATACGATTTTATACTTCTTCGTCTTCTAGAATAAATATTTTGAAGTTTTCCAAATAAGATGCATAAAATAAAAGGAATACCATCTTATTTTCAGCCTAAAGTTGGAGTAGAAGACGGGCCGTTGATGATTAAAAGTGGTGGATTAAAAGATAAGCTGATTCAACTTCGTAAGTGACAACAAGGGATGATGATATTTTAGATATGAGAACGTCCTAATAAAGATATTTTAGCGATGGGAAGGTCATAATTATGATATTTTAGAAATGAGAACTTCCAGAGATATATTATATCTTCCTTAACTATTTCTTTTGGATGTAATTTGTAGCGTAGTCAGTGGGTAATTTGGGGAGGGGGGGGGGAGGGGCACATATAGCGGCCGTTCCCACAAGGCCATGTTTCTAAGTGTGGTACATGTTTCATAAAGGGGTGCATGTTTCATAAAGTGGTGCATGTTGCTTAGAGGGGTGCATGTTTCATAAAGTGGTGCATTTTGCTTAGAGTGGTGCATGTGTCATGAAGTGGTGCATGTTGCTTAGAGTGGTTCATGTTTCATGAAGTGGTGCATGTTGCTTAGAGTGGTTCATGTTTCATGAAGTGATGTATGTTGCTTAGAGTGGTTCATGTTTCATAAAGTGGTGCATGTTGCTTAGAGTGGTGCATGTGTTATGAAGTGTTGCATGTTGCTTAGAGTGGTTCATGTTTCATGAAGTGGTGCATGTTGCTTAGAGTGGTTCATGTTTCATGAAGTGATGCATGTTGCTTAGAGTGGTGTATGTTTCATGAAGGTGTGCATGTTGCTTAGAGTATTGTATGTTTCTAAGAGTGGTGTATGTTTCTTAGATTGGTGCATGGTCCTTAGAGTGGTGCATGTTTCTTAGACTGGGGAATTTTGAAGGTAATTTATTTTCCCGTGTTAGGAAATGTAAATATATATATATATAAATATAACATATATATATATATATATATATATATATATATATATATTGTTTAATTCAGAATAAGTCGTTCTACATCGGTGTCGTTTCTTGGGGGGGGGGGGGGGACATTACTTTAAGCAATATAGACAACATTAGAAAATGTGTATCCTTTGCTTGCAATGTTAAGAATGACAGGTGATTTTTAAATTTTTTAAAAATTGTCTGGAGGGGGTTGTATTCGTCTATTGCAGGCGTGCACAATTCACAATGTAAGTTGGGCCGTAATACTTCATGAACATCGTGTGCTGGCTGTAAAACTTTTTTTTTTAAATTGCTCGGGCCGAAAGAAAATGTACGGGAGGGAAATATATTAAGAAAATAATTAGAAAAAAATAATATTTCGTTACCTCCCGGGCCGCAAAATGGGTGCTGGTGGGGAGATTGATAGATAGATTGGGCAATACGATCGATAGGATATATAGATATTTGATAGATAGATAGACAGACAGACAGACAGACAGACAGATAGACAGACAGATGGATGGATGGATGGATGGATGGATGGATGGATGGATGGATGGATGGATGGATGGATGGATGGATGGATGGATGGATGGATGGATGGATGGATGGATGGATGGATGGATGGATGGATGGATGGATGGATGGATGGATGGATGGATGGATGGATGGATGGATGGATGGATGGATGGATGGATGGATGGATGGATGGATGGATGGATGGATGGATGGATGGATAGATGATAGATAGATAGATAGATTTTTTAATTTATGATGCTCTGCAATGGCGTTCTAGTACCTATTTTCGATTTATTTTAACCTAAGGTTGGAGGCAGGTTCTATAGGTCAGTAATAAGCTTTTCAGAGCGGCAGGTTGATAGGTAAGTAATAACCTTCTCAGAGTGGCAGGTTCCATAGGTAAGTAATAAGCTTCTGAAAGTGAGAGGTTCCATAGGTAAGTAATAAGCTTCTGAGAGTGGCATGTTCCATAGTTTAATAAAAGCTTCTGAGTTTGGCAGGTTCTATAGGGCAGTAATAAGCTTCTGAGAGTGTCAGATTTCATAGGTCAGTAATAAGCTTCTGAGAATGGCAGGTTCCTTAGGTCAATAATAACCATCTGAGAATGGCAGGTTCCATAGGTAGTAATAAGTTTCTGTGAGCCCTTTCCTATTATTTCTTAGTGGGTTAAACACTTTATGTTATATAAGATATTCTAAATGAAAAAAAAAAATCAATTTGATTGCGGTATGGATTATTTAATAAAATGCTTTGAAATTTTTGTCTGTAATGTTTCTGAGTGACATTTTAATAACAGCTGATTTACTGCCGACCTTATCAGGAAAAAAATAACTTTATCATTGTCAAACAGATAACACAGTTGAGGATTATGGTGATCTCGATTTAAGCAATGTGTCAAAGAGTACTGCTACAGTGAGTAACATGAAAAACCATTGGCCAGTTGGAGACGCAAATAAACTGGTATGTGAGAGTTAGTATATGAATGCGTGTGACGTTAAAGTTGATTTGTCTTCAAGATACAAGTGATGTTATCATAGGTGTTTTGTTAAATTATAATTTCATTTGTAAATGAGTAAGGGGAAACCCTAAAACAACACATATATCGAAACAAAGGACGGGTAAAAAGCGTTTGTCCAACACGTCCCTTGTTTCATAGCGTTCTAAAAGACTTTTTTTACACTCACAAATCTATGAGGTTTGTAGAATGATTCTGTGTCGTCACGCGGGACTCTCTTGTCCGGTCGATTCAGTGCTCCTCGTGCTGAACTGTTAGCTCGCATCTGAATGTATGACATTGAGGTACATCTGTGGCATGCTTGGTCGTGGCAGGGGGGGGGGGCTGGGAATTTGAGCGATGGGGTATAAAGAAAGCTTGACTACAAAACAAGCCTACCTTTTCGCTTGCAATAAACTTGGGGTCCGAACTGTAGCATTTGTGGATGGGATGAGAAAGTTGTTGGGGCAGAATATTTTGGGCAGATAGATTCTGATCAACATAAGCAAGCAGACGTCAAAATTGTAATTTTTTTAGTTGTATGCCTTGGCAAAAAGCTAAGTCATTATCACGTGGACTTTGTAAGCATCCGCTGTAAACACAACAAATTATTCTTTTACGGAAAATTTATTGATTACAACTAGACTATCATAATTGAAAGAAGAAAATATTTTTTTTTTTAAATTTGTAAAAAAAGTTTTCTTTTTAAGACACTTTTCAACGCAATAAAAATTAGACCAAATTTTTCTTTATTAAACATTCATTAAAGTTCATTACGCAAAGAAACTATGTGCAGAAAAAATATTTTAAAATTTCTGAATAAAACACAATTAAACTTCTTCTACGTTTAAAATGGAATCCTTTGGCTTTAAAGAATGTCTTACTACTCTTCTGCATATACTTTCTTTGCGTATTGTATGTTAATAAATTTTAGGAAAATTATTTTCTACTATACATTGCGTTTAAACTCGTCTTCAAAAGAAAGTCCTATTTTTAAAAAAAAAATGTTTTTTTATCTTTAATTTTAATATTCAGTGTTGGCCTACATCACATTACTTATTTTCATTACATTGACCTATGAAGATTGCCATTTTTTTAAAAATCCTTTTATTAATTTCGCTTTTGTTCGTGGGTCGCTGGAAAAAAAATCTTCGTACGGCTAATTGACCCACTTCCCGTCAACCTATCGAGCTCAAACCTGGCACATAGAATCGTTGCCGATGACAACACATTTATCAAATGTCCAACCCCACACCCAAAACCCAATCCCCAACAAACTATTTTTGCCTGTTTGTAAAGGGGAACGTGATGACTGCGCTATATGAGATTATTTTGTTAAAAAAATATCACAACTGCCTTTGGTGCGTAATATTTTCTTTAGTTTTTATGAAATAGTTGGTGAAATAAATCTGTGGTGTAAAGGGTGTGTGTGTGTGTGGTCGGGGGGGATGTCATTAGAATTTTAATATAGTTCAGGGGGTGGAAAAAATTAGCGATTGCGAGCCAGGGGAAGGGGGAGAATCACTAATTGGGATTCTTATAAAGTGTGTTACTTTTAGGCATATTTTGTCAAATATTCAGCCCCACCATTTTAATAAAGAATTTCAAGGAAGAGCTATGTTTTAGGGGTTGTTTATCTAATGCAGCCGAGTCGTCACGTGGGCCCAGCGTGCCAAAGTGTCGAAACCTGGCTACGCTTCTGGTTAGAGTGATAACTAATCAAACAAAAATAAGAATGGATTTTTTTAAATAAGAATTATTACTTTTAATCAAATACATTTTCCAAAGCGCTATATTTCCTTGCTGCGCATTCACTTTCAGCGACGTAACCAAATCAACAAAAATAGATGCGCCGATTAGATTGCGAAGTGGCTGCACATAATATTCTTGATATTTTAAAAGGATACGAAACTTCTTAACGTTTTTTATAATAATTTTTGTTGAACAATTTTTTTTATTTTTTTAAGATTGCAATACTTTGAAAAGTAATTATTTATTAATATATTTATAACGAAGCAACACATGTCCGTGTTTATAATCACGTTTCTCCTTAAAAGCTTTCAGCCGAAGTGAAGAGAGTTCTGGAGAAAGGACAGCGAGTTCTTGTCTTGGGAGGCGACCATAGTTTGGGCATCGGATCGGTCCATGGCCACTGCCAGGTGGAACCTGATCTTATAGTCATATGGGTGGATGCCCATGCAGACATTAACACGCCCCTGACAACAATTTCCGGGAACATGCACGGCATGAGTCTATCATTCCTTGTCAAGGAGTTGCGATCATATCAACCTGATGCACCCTCCCTGGGATGGTGCAAGTCTTGGTGAGTGGTTAGCTACATCCATCCATAGATTGGTGCAAGCCTTGGTGAGTGGTTAGCTACATCCATAGAATGGTGCAAGACGTGGTGAGTACTTAGATTTATTTAGAGCTCAGTCTGGAATAGTGTTTAGTATTGGTTAGGTTTTAGCCTTTGTTGGTGGTTAAAGTTAGCTGGTGGTTTAATATTGGATAGCCATTAGCCTTGGTTAGTTGTTAAACTTCCGTCTAGCAACAAGAGACCATGTGCTGTCTGTGGACTATTTGTTTGGGCTGAGGGTTAAGGGTTAGGGTTAGGGTTAGGAAGAGGGTCATACGCAAACGTCTGACTCACAGAACGGAGGTGAGGGTTGTTGCGACATCTCTCTCCAAGGTGGATAAAAGAAATAAAGTCTAGTTCAGTGGTCGGCAAATCCTGGTTTGCGAGCCGCATGCGGCTCTTTAGCGACATGAGTGCGGCTCGGCCATAAATCAGTTTTGACTCCGAAAAACATGGTTCTTGACAGGTTTTTGAAAAGAAATCTGGCTCTAACAAAATTTGTAATCGTCCTGCTGCTAATTTTGTCTCTTTTGACTAATGAGTTTGCCAACAACTGGTCTAAGTGATCATTAAAAACCCACCCTTGCACGTCGGGGATAAGGCTCAGACCAGGTTTAGGTGTTGATGCTACTTGGGGCACTAGGCAAAATGCCAAAATTGATCTCCCAGACAACCTTAACATAATATAGCTGAACTGTTTTGGCGTCGGGGGGTAAGACCACGGAAATCACAAAGTTGTTCTACGACAGGCATTGCTACAATAGATCCTACTGAAATAAACAATCGTCATTGTACGATTAAAAACATTGCTCGCAGATTATATTTATATAATTAATCACAATAGTATCTTTATATAGGTAATCACACTATTATCTTTATATAACTAATCAACTATCAGACACCTTATTCCATTAAAGGGTTAAGAAACTTTGGTCGAAGATTATCTTTATACAATTAATCATAAGATTATCTTTATAAAGTTAATCACAAAACTATATTTATATAATTAATCACCAGACTATCTTTATATAATTAATACAAGATTATCTTTATATAATTAAGCACAAGATTATCTTTATGTTATTAATCAACTATCAGAAACTTAGTTCATTTCACCTAGTTTATACCAATTTTTTTTTTTTTTTAAATATTTATGAAGGAGAAACTCGATTATCCGCACTAGTTGTGATGTGGGATATCACAGTTAATGAAAGTCTGGATAATCTATGACACACTAAATGTTATTAAAAGAAAGCAGCTTTTACAAGTGTAGTTGTTTTTCCAGACATCTGCGAGCTCGAACATTTTATAGTTAAGCTTTCTTTGATTGGCTGGTCTCAGGTTTAACAAATGTACGCCCTTTGAGGATTCCCCCCCCCCTCCCGACCTTCCCATTCCGGAAATGTAATGTTGATTCGTGGATCACATTATACGGATAACCGGACGTCCGGATAATTGATGTTTGCTTTTTGAGTGCTTCTTCGGTTCACAGTATATACGTACATCAATTCCTCTCCCACAGCATCAGTGCCTCGAGCCTCGTGTACATAGGGCTTAGAGACGTGGACCCAGGAGAGAGGTAACGTCCACATGCGTAAAATTCTTGTGTACCTTAGACACTCTAGATCAGTGGCTCTCAACCTGAGGGTCGTGACCCCTTTGGGGGCCAAAAGACCCTTTGCCAGGGGTCGCCGAAGATCATCGAAAAAGTCACACACTCTACAGTTATGAGGTAGCACCGATGATAATTTTCTGGCTGCGGGTCGCCACGACATGAGGAATTGAATTAAAGGGTCGCGGCATTTGAAAAGTTGAGAACCACTGCTGTAAATGTTCAAGGTGGATATCGATGCACAGTTGTACATCAAAAGTGTTCAATCGATAATTTTATATGTGTTTCTGTGAATTAGTTTGTATGAATGATGCACGGTAAATGTTATGTCTCGTTCTGTATGTGTGTGTGTGGTCACTATGTTTATGTTATGTCACGTTGTGTGTGCCTGGTCACTATGTTTGTGTTGTCACGTTGTGTGTATGTAGGGTCACTATGTTAATGCTATGTCATGTTCTCTGTGTGTGTGTGGGTGATGTGGTCAGTATGTTTGCTATGTCACGTTGTGTGTGAGTGGTTACTATGTTTATGTTCTGTCACGTTGTGTGTGTGTGGTCAGTATGTTTATGTTCTGTCACGTTGTGTGTGTGTGTGGTCACTATGTTTATGTTCTGTCACGTTGTGTGTGTGTGATCAGTATGTTTATGTTATGTCACTTTGTGTGTGTGGTCACTATGTTTGTGTTATGTCACGTTGTATATGTGGTTACTATGCATATGTTATGTCACGTTATGTGTTTGGTTACTATGTATAAAGTTATGTCACGTTGTGTATGTGGAAACTTGTGTATGTTATATCATGTTGTGCGTAAGATAAATGTGTTAATTTCATTTCAGATTGTTCGAAAGATGAATGTGTTAATGTTATTTCATATTGTGTGTAAGATAAATGTCTTATTGTTATTTCATATTGTGTGTAAGATAAATGTGTTAATGTTATGTCATATTGTGTGTAAGATAACTATGAGTATGTATATTGCTCAAGTCGATACAACATACTGCTTTAGTTACACGATACTGATTTAGTAACATGATGCTGCTTTAGTTACATGATACTTTTTTAGTTACATGATACTGCTTTAGTTACATGATACTGCTTTAGTTACATGATACTGCTTAAGTTACATGATACTGCTTTAGTTACATGATACTGCTTTAGTTACATGATACTGCTTTAGTGACATGATACTGCTTTAGTTACATGATACTGCTTTAGTTACATGATACTGTTTAGTTACACGATACTGCTTTAGTGACATGAAACTGCTTAGTTACTTGAAACTGCCTTTGTTCAGGCGCTATAATTTCAATTACAATAAATAAGGTTTTGCTTATCTTTAAATGTGTACACTTTCGGTCATTAGTTATTGTATTGGTATTTGTGAGTAAATTTTTTTGTTTTGTTCATTGAAAGAAATCAATAATGATATTAATAAACCAATATATCCTGTTGTACAAAGGCCCGTATGATTTATAGTCACATGATATATTGTAACGGTCTCCTGTATGCCATTGTTTTTCTCTGAAGGTTTCAAATTAAAAATTGCATTGCTATTGTATTTGTATAGAAAAATTATTGAAGAGCTCAACATTAGAGCGTACTCGACGCATGAAGTAGACAGGCGCGGGATTAGGCGAGTGTTGGAAGAGGCACTTACGAGTCTAGACCCGAGGTGAGTGCTAAAAACAGAACCACTCTAGTAAGAATATTATAGTTTATATAGCTATGACTTTAAGGTTATCTGTACTTAGAGAAATTCAATTGATAAAACAATTTTCACGGGGTTAATTTGAGACGATTTACTAAGGGATAAGTCTAAGTATGAAAAGATAAAATAATATTACCTACAACCGTATCTTATCTTACCTTATCTCAACTTATCTTATCTTACCTTATCTTATCTTTTCTTAATTTATCTTATCTTATCTTACCTTATCTTATCTTATCAACCATTTGAAGTAAAACAAAATATTTATTTTATTTTACAAAATAATTTGAGGAAAAAACGACTGCATGAAAAATGTTGTATTTTATTTTATGAATGTAAACAGAGGCGAACGTCCCATCCATCTGAGCTTCGACGTCGATTCAATGGATCCGACCCTGATCCCCTGCACTGGCACCCCAGGTCAGTTGGGGGGGGGAGATTAAGACAGATTAGTTTGGAATTATACCAAATTAGCCGGTAGATTACGCCAGATAAGTTCAAAGTTGTACTAGATTAGCCGGTAAATTACGCCAGATCAGTTCAAAGTTGTACTAGATTAGCCGGTAGATTACGCCAGATGAGTTCAAAGTTGTACTAGATTAGCCGGTAGATTACGCCAGATCAGTTCAAAGTTATACTAGATTAGCCGGTAGATTACGCCAGATCAGTTCAAAGTTGTACTAGATAAGCCGGTAGTTTACGCCAGATTAGATTGGATTTTTTACTAGATTAGCCGTAGTTTACGCCAGATCAGTTTAGAGGTTTTACTAGATTATTGGGGTGTTTACTCTTGATTTTAAGGCTTACAGATGAGACTTTTAGTGGAAGCAATAGCATAACAAAGCGGTATTGAAGGGGGAATCAAATCCCGGAGACTTTGGGCATTTTTTAAAATGATTTGTGGGGACATTTTATACTCCAGTGCAATGAACATAATGGTATTTTAGAGTTCATTGCAATAAAATAATGATATTTTTAAAGATTGAAAGACTCTATGTTTAAGTTAATTTTTCAACAAATCACTTCCTAGTATTAAATAACTTGGGTTACTTTGGCCACCATCTATAATCTAATTTGGCCTTATTTAACTACTTATCTACGATTCTTCAGTGTAGTAGGAGGATATTAGTAGAGCAACTATTTATATATAACGTGTATATCGATATATATATATGTATGCACTTGCCGATATACCCGACTTTTCTAGGGTTTTTACTAAGAAAAAAAAGAAAAACTTCTAAAAATTTATCAATTTACACTTAAATATAGGTCCCTGTCAAAAATACTTCATCAAAAAAATCTTCATCAAAAACAATTCCTCAAAAACACTTTCTCAAAGGCGGTTTTTGGGGGTCGAATGACCCTTTCACGAGGGTCGCCTAAGACCAAACAAAAACAAACAAACATAGTCACACTGGGCTTTATGCAGTTAAATCGTTTGACATTATTTATTGAAACAATCCCCCCCCCCCCACACACACACATTATCACTACAACTTCCTTAGAACTTAGCCCAAACGGCAGGTACGGAGTTTTAATCAATTTAACAACTTCTATTTTGCAGTTCCTGGTGGTTTGACCCTAAGAGAAGCCTTCTATATTGCCGAGGAGATTGCTAAGACAAGTAAGTTGATTGAAATGGGAAAAGTACTTTGACACACTTTATATCAGTGCTCCGATATAATGCCAGTTGTGTAGTGCAAAAGAAATACACAAAAAACAGGAAATTAAAAAGTACTTTACATTGGAAAGCCATTAAACCTACAACGTCCTGCTACAAATGGAACATTGGTCAACCTTGGGACATTGGTCAGCCTTGGGAAATTGGTCAGCCTTGGGGCATTGGTCAGCCTTGGAACATTGGTCAGCATTGGAACATTGGTCAGCCTCGGGACATTTGTCAGCCTGTGACTAAGTTGTCAAACCTTGCGAAAGCAGAAACGTGTCTCATCTAGACCCTTAATATGGAGCGATACATAGTGATACTTTCTCGCGTTACAAGCCACCAATCGTGCTAAAAGTATTATTTTATTACGTATATGCTTGCTTGTTGTCACTTGTGCCGCAGAATTCTGGAAAAGCCTAGAGCAGTGGTTCTCAACCTTCCTAATATTACGACCCCTTAAACAGTTCCTCGTGTTGTGGTGAATCCCAACCATAAAAGTTTCAGCGTTGCTACTTCATAAATATCTGTTTTACCGATGGTCTTAGTCCACCCTGTGTAACGGTCTAGTGAGCCCCTAATGGGTTGCGATCCACAGGTTGAGAACCGCTGGCCTAAGGTGTGCCACGCGTAAAATTTTAAAAAAAAGTTGATGAGCCCTGCTTTGGAAGAACGAAACTAGGATATCATCCGCATTTGACATTTCTTTGTAACTTTCAAACAAATCCTCAGAGCGTCTTTCGGTGCTGGACATTGTCGAATTCAACCCTAGACTTGCTTACTGCCAGGGTGAAGTCAACAAGACGCTGGACAACACCCTGGATGTCATCACTAAATTTTATGGAAGCCGTCGCCAAGGAAACTACCCCAAGGGCTATCGCCTGCCTCAGCCATAACGACCATAGCAAGCATAATGCACCCGTTAAATTAATGACTAGAAAAGCTGCAACGGAACGCATGTATTAGCATAGATCACTAATAAATTGAACTGTTTCAAAAGTTGATACTTTTTTGACATCTTTTTTAACAAAACAAATGAGTGAATAAATTAAAAGACGTGTTTTTTGAGTGATTAACAAAGATAGATATATATATATACGTATAACTTATTATGTATCTCTCCAGATTTCGCGTACAAAGAGAGGCATAATGTCCCAGTCTTACGCATTGGCTTCTATTGTGAGAAATTAATCTCCTATTTGAATTTATTGCTCGTTCAAACAGTGCACAACAAAGGACGATACCATAGAGAATTCCAATAACAAAAATAAGACACCCAAAACAGAACCAATTACAATTAATAAGATTTAATTTAGTAATAATATAACTACAAAACAAAAGAAATATAATTACAAATCATCAACTTACAGAGTATGCGAAAAATCTTGTACCGGTACACAATTAGTACAATGTGCCAATTAATAATGATGACTGATGAATGCGAAATAAACACATGTGAGCACACAAAGAATAATACAATTGTCTCGTAAAGTTAATAATATCTATTTCAATCTATCTGAATCTATCTGAGTCTCTGCCTCAATCTCCGAATCCCCCTTTTATACCTATGCGTCGGTAGAACCAACGCTTCTAGAAATGTCTTTATCTTTCTAGTCAATTATCGAAGTTTCCCCAAAAATTCTATTAGAATATACTAGTTATTTTTAGTTGAAAATTTCTTTCATACTTAGAGAGTTATATTATTTGATTAACATGTGCACAGTGATCAGATGCATATAAATAACCAGTAACATAGCACAAACAAATTTTATTTCCTCAATACAGAGAGCTTGACCACGGGCAATATCGCTTACAGCTGCAGCCATTAGAAACTCGTCTATATCAGCTCTATCCACAATCAACGTTCGTTTTCTTTCTAGCGCCCCGTCCCATCAAATACAGAGTGAATATCATTTAGCACCTAATAAAAATCCCATTTATTACTTCATAGTATCCCATTTATCACCCTAGAAGCATGGGCGCCCGCAGAAAACTTTCTAGGGGGGGGGGGGCAAAAAAATCGATTAACTTTCCAGGGGAGGGGGTCAAAAATTTTTTGTAATGTTTTAATGTAGTTTTAATTTACTGTAGCGTATTTGTATGGTGAACGAACGGACAGGACATCAGCTTAGTTACTTTCTCTTTATTTTCTCTTTACTTTAATATATTTTTTGTCTATTTTTGTTTAAAAAAATTGTATCCAATCAATCCAGGGGGGCAAGTGCCCCCCTTGCACCCCCCCTGCGGGCGCCCATGCCTAGAAGTATACCATTTATCACCCTCACAATATATCATTTATTACCGTCACAAAATTTACAAAACATTATCTCACAATATACCATTTGAAACCCTCCCAAATTACAATTTATTTCCTTAACAGTATACCATTTAGCACACTCACTGTCCCATTATTATTGTTCGTCCGTCGAAGATCGACGATGACCATCGAGTCGTCCGGTGACTGATGACTTGCGCGGGTGACTTATGTTTAACGTGAGGAAGAGTTGCGCGGCGTCAACCTCACTCTCTCGTCCGAGCCCACCATATCTAGTGGCAAGACTCTACGTCAGGACGACCAGGGATGGGTACGGTTGCAGGAATTGTCATTGTATGCGCCTTACGGGACTCCAACTCCGGGTTTGAATTCAGAGTTTCCTTCTCTTAGATGACATGCCTTCCATGGTTAACGAGTCTCATCCACCCGGGGTGATGTTTTTGCTTGACTGACCTTTGGTTGGAATTGAACTCCAGATCATTATACCTCACAATATACTATTAGTTACCCTCACAATATAACCATTTATCACCCACACAATATAACCATTTATCACCCTCAAAATATCTCATTTATCACAATCACACTATAACCAGTTATCACCCTCAGGATATCCCATTTTATCATCCTCACAATATAACCATTTATCACCCTCACAATATCCCATTTATCACCCTCACAATATCCCATTTATCACCCTCACCCGTGCCCCATCCATGCACTCGCCCTCAGAATACTTTTGTTTGCACAACCTCAGCACCTGCCTCCACGCCGCCACTTGCCCCATCCTGTGCAGGCAGAACGCCATTGATGCGTAGACAGACGCATGCACACGCTCTCGGCTCAATGCCGCCTGGAACCTTTGGACCGCGGCGTTGTAACTCCCGTGTAGTTTGAGAACCTCTCCTTCATACTCCACCAGGGTCGCATTTGTGCCCCCGTAAGGAATCAGTGAACTTAATATCGACATTTTCTCTTCTTCAGCCGAATCGTAGTTTCTCTTCCAGACTGAAAACGTTTTGGTGGAGACTGCTTCAGTGAACAGAGGTTGGAAAAATCCCTTGTCCGATCGTATGATTGCATAGTTGAAGTGTTTGGATTCGATTATACGTTTGAGTATAAATTCGTGATTACTCTCGTCTATGAGGTCGGATACATTGAACAGGGCGTAGTAATTGGAAGTGCACTTAGTGTCCACCCAGCAGTATCGCGAGCTCGATATCAGCGACATCCGATCGAATTCGATGAACTTTCGGTCGTGTAGGAATAACACGGGGACATTCTTGTGAAGTAATGTGAAGCTTCCGTGGTCTAGGAGGCCATTCTCCATATACAGGCCCCTGACGTCCTTCTGCGAGGAGACATAGTACAGACACTTGTTGATGTGGGGCCCATCATCAGGGGACGAATGCGATCCTGTGATTGGATGGCTCTTTTCAAATTCGTGCAAACTCGCCCACTGATTGGCTAAGACAAACGATCCGAAAGCCAATAAAAGAAAACGTTTTTTTTTCCGACGCGAACACGAGACGGTACGAATGACAGCCGTTATAATCATGGCTAGGACTCCTAGTGACAGGGTTAGGGTTATGTCTAACTGTCGAATAAATGCCGGTGATAAAAATGGCGTTTATCATGTGACCTCTCATACCATTGCCTTCGGTTAAGCTTGTCACGGGAATAGATGAGAAGTTCGCAGTAGTTGAAAATCCTGTTAATTTGTTGAAGACCCCGAGCACATCTGATAATACAAGTATTATCATAGCAGATGTGAATATTATAGTCAAAACTGATAATCCAACGTCTTTAAAAAAGATCTGCTCAGAGTAGAAATATTTCCCCGAGGAGCCGATGGGTTGACTGGTTTATCCAGAAAATAGATTAAACTGCATAATGACACAGTTTTCGTATGATTAACTGGACTTAGATAGTGATACAAATTACGTAGGACTATTGATATAAAGCGAACGGTTGATACAGATATGTATACAATAAGGAATGGAATGATGTCGGTATGGATAGCCGTTAATTAAAATATCGGCGACATGTGATAAGACATGGCTCCAGGACAGTGCTTCTCAACTAGGATCGTGTTTTTGTGACCCGCAGTCATAAAATTATTTTCGTTGCTACTTCATAGGTATGTGTTGATCTAAGATGACCCCTGTGTAAGGGCTGTTTGACCCCCAAAATGGTCGCGACCCACAGGTTGAGAACCGATGCTCTAACCCTATCACTACCAAACCCACCCCTAACCCTGTAATTAACGTGTCACTCTTCAAACCCCGTTTCCCGTAAGTAATAAAATTTAATTTTAAAAAAATATTTTAAAAATCGGTCAGCTCTCCAAGTCTAAGTGAGCTCAAGTGATTCATACACCCTCTTCCCATTACTTCCTCCCACCTCCCCATACACTCAGACAAAAGACTTCAAACAGCATTTGATAACCATTACCTCAAAAAGGAAATCTTTCGTTTTGTATGTCTCATTCAGCAAATCTATTTCAAAAGAGAAGGAAGAAACGTCAGCAACAACACGTTGCCACTTCAAGTCACGGTTCACCGCGTCATTTTGACTGGATTGGTTGACTTTGTTATGTCATGGGGGAACAACCTGGGATTTGTTTTATTAACACTGATATATTAGATATTTTGTAGTTCTTTGATTTTGGTCCCAATCTGTTTTG